TTTTAATTTTCGCACCTTTTCTTTTTCTTCAGCTTCTTTCAGTGCTTTCGATTCAGCTCTCATCTGCACTTTCTCCGCTTGCCTTCTCTTCTTCTCACGTGCTTCGTCAGCCTTGGCTATCTCCTCAACTCGACGTTGCTCCTTCATTTTGGCCTCAGTCTCCTCTCGCCTCAATACTTCTTTTGCCTTCTCACTCAATACAGCCTCTTCCCTTAGTTTCTTTGGCTCCTCTTGAATTACCAACCGTTTATTTCCCGCATTTTCAGTAGGTTTCACAGTTGTTTTTTTCTTCAGCTCTGGAGTTGGAACTTGTGATACCAAATTGGCCTTGGCTGGTGTTGAGCTCATCTTACCAACTCTCTCATGAGAATAACTGGGAAGAAGACGTGGCTTTTCCTGAGGGCCGAGTGAACGGCCATCCAAAGTCCCGAATCTCCTCAACGTGCTCTTCTCATTGAACTTGACATAGTCTTGGCGGAATTTATCATTCGTGTTCCAAAGTTCCATAAAATTTTCAACCTATGGAAATTTTAAGATCATATCATGGAATTATTATTAGGAGTCGCCTAGACAACAGAGGAGAAGAGAGAAACACGATAAGTACCTGATTCGTGCACAGATCATGGAGTGCTTTTTTATTCCCATTGAATGCATAACGATTGGCAGCTGCTGCTGTATCCTTGTATTTGAAGTAGTAGTCGTTCTGCAGTTTCATGTATACGATTAAATTTAATCAATTTAATAGCAGTGCTCATATATACAATCTCTTTTCTAGTTGCACATGGCACGGTGTACAAAAATGATTGGGTCTAACTTCAAGATCAGCCTCACTTTCCTTCTTAGCTGCCTTTACAAGTGGGGACTAATTTCAAAAGCATCTCATATAACTAATAGTGTAAAGATAATTGAACTCATAAGAATGTTCGAAATACAAGTTTGGAGTGGAATATATTAACGAAATATTGTAACTACTCTATCTGAAAGAACTATGAATGCAATGCCATACCTTCAAATCTTTGGTACTGAAGCTCACAGAAGAAAAACCGATAAATTTCACAGAAATAAGTAAGGTGAAACTGACACACATGATATCATTTGCTTGCTCCACTAAGATTCAATTATCTAGGCTGCAGTCAAGGAAATACTTCACACACTAGTTAATGGATCTACTGTAATTAATGATATATGAAAAAATATCTACCTACCATCAAGAAAGGTTTTAGCCGTCAATTACAGTCTGCAGCCTAATCAACAAATTTTTTAGGTTTTCCCACCATTTATTTGTAGTCCATCCTTATTCTTAAAGTAATCTCAAATGGGCATCAATTTGATCAACCTACTTACCTGTCCAAGTAATGCTCTACAGAGGATTAGATATAACTAAGTCAGTAAATTCTTTAGCCAATTTCATAGTCTATAACAGCCGGGATACAAGTCAATCACCTAATCTGTTAACTCTTCGTCTTTAAATTTGTCATCTGTAATAAAAATTACAAAATACATTTGAAAAGCCTCACGTATGCTCATGATTGATAATTGATATGCACATGCAATCTTGAACTTCTACAACAAATGAATACTTCGTGAATACGTCATGTTTTACGCATTTAATGTGTATTGATGTCAAGAGATAGCAAGCTGCAGTGCTCTTAATTTTAGCATGTTTGCTACAGTATTGGTTACCAAAAACATATATTTAATGAAAAATACTATAAATCTACTCAAAAGTCAAAAGAAAGATTATAATACACAGGTACTAATACATTATATGAGTGATGATTAGAATATCTACCATTTAACTTAAAACTTTAATTCTTAGAAAACTTCACATATTACACACTATATGAGAAACAAAGATACTTTCAAAAGATGCATTACCTTGGCAGAAAGTTGTTGTCGGAGATTCTTCAATTGAATATATGCTGCTTGGCGGACATCATTAGCTGCTCTGGATTTCGTCTGAAGTTCCTTTATTTTTTTATGTTCAGCATCACACTTCTTCTCTGCTTCCAACGCAGCTGCCTCAGCTCTTACAACATTACCTTTAAGGATATCAAGCTCCTTTCTTAAGATCTGCAGACACCAATACCAAAGACAAGCCAATCAATTATGCATCCTCGGGATTAAAACTTTCCATTCAAAGTTACTTTAAGTTGCACAAACTATGAAGTATGCATACCTTTAAACGCACTTCAGCCTCATGTCTCTGTTCAAGAGCCTGTCTGATTTCATCCTGACTGCCAAGGTTAGCAGGTAGTTGTTCCCGAAGCTGTTTAAGTTGCTTCATTTCACGAATGAACTGCTTTTCTTCCTTCAGAGAAAGGGTCTCGTGTTGAATTGCATGCTCCATCTTGTGTATCTTTCAAGAGGAAAAAATTTATTACTTAAAGAAGAGAGCATATTTTCAATAGAAATATTAATTTTCTTTTTCTATGTTGTACAGACGACCACAAGATATTCTAACACACAAATCTTTATACAAAACACAAGGAAAGAGAATCCTTGCCTGTACATTTATATCCTCAACAGACAATGCATTTTTAGCTTTGCTGATCACAGTCAGAAGAGAATCTATCTCCATGCGTTTTGAACTCACCAACCTTTTTGCACTTCTAAGTTCATCCTTGGCACTCTCATAAGCAGCCCTATGAATCTGACTGTTGGCCTGCAAGTTGAAAAAATCAGTTACATCTGTGTTTTGGTCCTTTGGACCACAAATAAATAAACAAATAAGAAAAACTTAGAACTTTAATATGTATTACTGACTCTTTTCTCGAGGATCTCAAATTGGATATCATCCCTGAGTCTTGTCTTATCATCAAGTTCTTTCTGTGCAAGACTTATCTGTTCTTGAAGAGTCCTATCATCCATTCTCGGAATCCTAATCAGAAAATTGAACGGCTTTGGAACAGCCTTAACATTAGCTTCCTCATAACTGATCACATCAGCACTAGAACTCTCCAATGAACCAATGGATATTTTATGGCTGTTACAATTTCCAGTGCCCCCACTTTCCTCGAGGTACGATTTCTCTTTGCCACTCCCTGCATTGATCACTAGATCTGCCACATCCTCAGCATCTTCCGTTTTTGATGCAACGACATTCTTAACATCAAAGGTATTCGGAACCTCTTCTTTACAAGGGGTACTAACATTGCCATTTATTTTTCTACTACTACTTACAGCAGAAGGTTTATGAACTCGAGATTTGACTTTCAGATCAACACATTGAGGTGGGAGAGTAACAACTTCCATCCAACTTCTAGTTTTCCTATCCAAATTAACAGAAGAAATGTGGAACCCATGTCCATCCTCAAGGGAACTGCTCTTTACCAAAGGAGGAAAATCCTCAGCCTCCTTCATGTTCCCAGCAGCCCCCATATTTAGATGCTCACTAGCTTTCCCATTCACAGCATCTAAATTCTTGCTCTGATCAGTAAATCCCGCCACTTGACCCTCACCCTCGATAATTGATTCTGGTGAACCATTTGAATCCTGCTCGCTAACTTCCCCAGTCATGGCATCTAATTTCTCATCATGATTATTGGATTCTGCCACTTCATCTTCAACCTCAGTACTTGATTTAGGTGGACCATTCAAGTCCTTCTTGTTAACTTCCCCATTTGCGGCATCCAGTTTCTCATCTTCGTCATCTGATTCCACCACTTGATTTTCAAACTCAGTATTTGACTTTGGTGAACCAATCAAGCCCTGCTCATTCAATGCCCAATTTGCAGCATCCAATTTCTCATTTTCTTCATCTGATTCCTTAGCTTGACCATCAACCACAGAATTTAGTATCGGTGAATATTTCAAATCCTGCTCGTTAACTTCCCCATTCGCAGCTTCTAAATTCTCTTGGTCATCCAGTTCAGTCATTTGATTTTCAAACTCAGCATTCCATTTTGGTGAACAGCTGGAATCCTGCATGCTAGCTTCCATATTCAGAGAATCCAGAATTTCATTTGGATCACTACATTCAACGAATTGATCAAGCTCGATATTTACTTTAGATGATCCCCTCAATTCCATAGCAATAACATCCTCACCATTAACAGCATCATCACTGGGGGAATCAGCCACAATCACAATAACATTGGAACTTTTGACATCATTGACTTGTCTGTTGTAGATAGTACCATTGGTATCAGACTTGCAAGGACTCTGGCACAATCTCCTGCCAAATTCACAATTATCCTCGAGTATGCCCACATTAGAGATCTCAGTTGCGGCCTTCATTTCCTGAATTTACAATGGCATGTCAAAGTTATCAAATAATAAATCCGTTACTATTAAAAATGTTGAAGTACAACAGTCACATACCTGGAAAAATGTGTTGACTGATAAAGAATAAAATCAGCACATCATGACAGAATCAATCAGACAGAAAAGGCATACAATAATACAGAATATACTGAGGCTAGGCTTAGCGCAACAAACTAGCTCCCTTTGCCTCTCAATGTTCACATCTTACACAATTTCTTAGCTAAATACCGCAACAACTAAAACAACAGACTTGTATATAGGAATTCTCAGATGTGTCGCAGAAACAGAAAGGTAGGAGTCCATCGCATGATTTTCAATGGTTTGGTTAGAGCAGTTATCTGGTTAATTCGGTTTTTAGATAGTAATAGGTACAGTGGTAAATTCAAATAACATAAAATCGTGCAAAATAGTTCACATTATAATGTGTTGTACGTAAATTCATCGCACTGTATGTACACAAAACATGTGTTGCAAAGCTCAGTGTTTGTACTTTCCTCTATTGTTGTTACTAATTTGTATTTTCGTGCTCCCAAGGTGAAAAGGGGAAGCTAGAGATCACCTACACTTTCTAGTTCCCTGTTTAAAAACTCACAGTGGGAAAGAAAAAGGCAATAGAAAGATTCCATACTTCTCGATAAAAACACGCAATCTGCACATGCTTAATGGCACTATCTGAATGTTGCTGCCTGCCATTTATATCTCTAACTTTCTTTGCACATAATCGACGACAAGCCACATCATCAACAGTAATCTCCCAAATATAGTAATTTCAATTAATAGACCCACGAGTCAACCATCGGATTGCGAAATATCTAAATTTTTCGATTCTATGCACGGAAATCTAACAATTAATAAAAGCTTCCCAATTACATCTGTAAAGCACACATTCTTCACTACAGTTATTAGCAGCGGAAAGCAAACAGGAACAAGGCAAGCTAACAGGGAAAATAAATAAAATGGATATGATAATTTCATATTTTAAACTACGCAACCATCTCACGTCACAAAAATGGAATTCGTATATCAAGTGAAGCAACAATTGTTGATTAAACTCGGTGAAGTCAAAAACATGTGGTAATACGTAGTAAAAAATGACCGTCACAGGATAATAATTAATTCAGTTATGAGATCGACGGCAGTATCTGTCATTCTAGCTTCAGTAACCTTGATGAATCACCAAATTGTTTCGAAAAAACACAGATACGTTCACTCATGACAACGTAGAAGATAAGTACAGTTATACAAAATTGCCAGGGTCGATTTCTCTACAGAGACAAATGACTTAATTTCACCTCTTTATTAGCTGCTACAGTCAACCAAACAACCATACCAATAGCTAATTAGCTATGCTCCTGTGTAGCCACCACGTCAAAACTTTTTCTTCCTCACTTCAACATACATCTTAGACGTATAAGTCCAATTGCAACAACAAAAATTCCACGCTACACACTTTTTTGTTTTCTTCCAAATTTGAAATTCAAAAGAACCAAAACGAAGATTACGTACCTGCAAATCCACACGCGCCATAGGCATGGTCGATGCCAAGCTATTACGTTTGAAGCTTATAGAGGACGGAGGAGCGAAATCTGGCCGGGAAAAGCACCGGCGATGCTCAGGTGGATTGAACTAGAACGGTAGACCGAAAGGGTTATCTTCGCCGTCGATCGCTGCTTGTTTGGGCGGTTGTGCGTTTGCATGGGACGCGCCGGAGAGACAAATTAGTAGCAAACCGTGATCGGCGCCGGAGAGATAAACTAACACGACTCCGACGAGCGAGAGAGAGAGGGGTTTATGAGAGAAGTAGAAAAGTAACGGACTATGAGAGCGTACCAAGAGGATTTCGGAAAAGAATCAGAATAAAAACAAAGAAGAAAAGGAGATTAATATAACAGTTAAAATCAGTCAATCGTCTATTTTTAGGTAAAGATCAAATACATATTTTGGTCAAATTATTAGAAAATATTATATTATCATATTCTTTAATTTATCAGAATCACTTTGTAACTAAATCACTGTTTTCTCAATCCTATCAATCCATAGGCATAATCTTTATCTTCTCCTCTCAATTCCTATCATACATACAATTTGATTCTACACAATCTCTATCTTCCCAATTCCATAAATCCATATATAATAAAATTCATACAGTTTGAGATTACTAATATTGAAAATTTTATAAAACAGTGATTTCTTATTCCTTTAGTTGCTACAAAGAAATCATCGTGATTTTAATTAGTAATCTCAAACTGTATGAGTTTTATTCAAATTCATAACTAAAATAACTTTTTTTAATTTTTTTTGCAAATATAACTAAAATATTTTCAACTTGATAATTATTTAGTCTTTTAATTAAAACAGTAACTTTGACTTTATAATTAAATAGGTTGACTTATTATTAAAGGAAATACAGTAAAAATTAATTAATATTTGTTAAAATAATAAAAATCAAATTACACCTACATGTTATAAATCCTGCAATTCGCTTAATACCACGAGTTTCTATATAAATAAAGTGTTATCAATTTTGAAAATTATATTGTGATAATTATCGCAATAAAAATCTAATTCTTCGTATTAATTACGAATCACTGCGATTTCTTATTTTTTTTATGACCAACCATGTATCTTAAAAAAAATTATTAAATAGGTTTGTTTTAAGAAATATTATTTAAATATGCATGATAAAATCTATATATATATAATAAGAATTAACATTTACTAAAAATAGTAGCAAAAAAATAGGTCAGAATTTAATGCAGTCTATAAATAGTAAGTTTTATTATTTTTCTTATTTTTTCTTTAAAATTCATACATCATTAAATGCTACCTTAAATTTCGGGGTATAGTTCATTTTATTATTGAAAAAATCCGGCTAAGATTTATTAAGTGTGTATGTTTTTATTTTTATTTTTTTCTTAGAAACAACGAACAAAATTAAAATCTCGGTCTCTATATTTATAAAATCTCAATTCAAAATATAACAAAAGTTTTAAAATCTCGGTCTTTATATTTGTGCCTTTAAAAAAAATTGAAAGCTAAAAATATTCTTTAAATTGCATAATCAATCAATTCATTTTAATTTTTTGAAAATTACTATGTTTATTTTTCATTAATATGCATAAAGTAAAAATAATTAATTCATCTTAAGATATATAATTTATAATCTTAATATACTATCAGTTGGTGTAGACATTTATTATATGAATCATAAAATATTTTTATTTCATAAAGTTAAATATATTTAAAGAAAATAAGAAAATTTCTTCAGATCAATCAGGTGATTGAATTATGGTACTGTCCAGGTTGATTGAATTACTTTTAGGTAATATTTAAAATAGTCAAAAAACTTGACACAACTTAGTTGGCTTGGTTGGTCCCAGGTGACTAAGTTATGAATCAGTTCGATCACACCAAATCGATTATTGAACCTAAATATAAATTTCATATTGAAAATATTTTATTACGTGAATGTGATGTAGTCCAAATTTCAAATAATCGTATTAACAATACTTTTATGACAACATGTTTAATGATTTATGAATATTTATATATCATTTTATTAATATTTATGTGAAAAAAAATGTTTTATTATAATATTTATTAATGTACATTAAATATAAGGTTTTCAGAACTGGACCGTCATCGAAACGATCAAGCTATTTTATTAAATCATTTGTGGTTTGTTCAGATTTTAATTTATAAACATTTTAATATATATATATATATATATATAGTATTTTTTGTAATAAATTTAAACAAAATGTGTTACTTAGATATTTAAAAAATTTATAAATTCAAATGTTTAAACTAATTGATAAATAATTTATAAATCTCTATTTTATTTAAATATGTAATTTTATTTAAAATAATTTTAAATATAATAAAATTTATTTAAAAAATCGTGTCGATCCTACAAATCCAACCGACTGGTGTTTACGGATTCAAAAGCAAATATCTTATTCAAGCGAACTAGACTGGTTATAAATCGGTTCTCGGTCCATCCGGTCGGACTGTGTCCAACCCGGTTTAATGTAAAACAATACATAAATCATGATTAATGTTATTTATATATTTAATTTATAATACAATCGTAATATTGTTTTCCCGTGCATTGCACGGGCCATGCACTAGTTACAAATAATTTAAAATAATAAAATTAAACATCACTTGTGAAGCTTTATTATGACATTTATCAATAGGTTACAATAAAATTTAATTTATCAACATTAATAATAAATCACGATGATTTCTTATTCCTTTAGTAACCAATCATATACCAAAATATTTTTTATTCTATATTTAAAAATCATTTAATCAAGAGGATTAGTTTAAAATATTATGATTTATCAATAACTCAACCGACTTAGTTTTTCAGAAATTGTAAAAGTAATTTTCCACAATATCAAAAAAAATTTAACTACTTATCTTTAATAGGAAAGCAGTCTTTACCGTTAATAACAAATCATGCGTTTTCCTGTTTTATTGGAAATCTAGAAATATGTAAACCGATAAAAGCGTGAGATTGTAAAATATCATTACAAAATAAATTTAGAAATTAATTGCAAAATATGTTGATATAACTACTACAATGCAATAGAATTGATACTTTAACATTTACAACAAATCTCTCCAATTGTCTACTCAATTTGTAATGAGACATATACCAAAAATTATCTATTCAAGGAGTTCAAAAATACCTTTGATTTTATCAATAACTACACCGAACCAGTTTTTTTTTTTTAAAAAAAATCATATTGAAATTCAAAATATCATAACAAATCTCATATAAAATAATGAATTAAAAGAAAAGTCAAAATATTTATAATATACATTATTATAAATTATAAGAAAAAATAAAATAATACTGGTTTAGTAATTTTTTTAACTTCAAAATAATATAAAATGCAGTCTTTTACAATTAAGTGTTGGTTATAATTTTTGCCACAATTTTTCAACTTTAGTATATCTTACTTAGAAATCGAAATAATACATTGTAATAAAGTATGAGTAAAGGAAGATAGAGAGAGAAATATCATGTGCGTATTATTTGTAATTATTTAAATTTTCAGTATCTCTTAATTATAAAAAGGAACTCTAAAATGACATTTATTTTATAACAAGTGAAATAAACATATAACTACTCATATGTTAAATTATTATATATCGTAAAATACATGAAAAAAATATTATCAATATTCAAAGTTATTTTTATACTAATTAATATTTATTCATTGCTTTAATACAAGAACTCGATTTTTCATTATACGACAAACATTTTGGTATCGACATGCATTTTTTCGTGAAAGAATCACTGTTCAACACATTCCCTCTCTTGAACAAATTGCAAAATTGTTCACAAAGTCTTTAACAGGCCAATTCTTTGTCCGCTAGGTGTTTCTCCCATATCCGGCCATGAATTGAGGGGTCATGTTCAACGGCGGATCCAAGACATTTATGTAATGGGGGCCCACGATACTATGGCCCTAATCCCTTCCCCCAATTCACCATCTCGGCCCTCCTCTAGCATGAATTGTTTTTTAGCATCTTCAGTTTGTTGTGGGCCTGTGACCCCAACAAACTAGGCTAGATCCGCCAGTGGGCATGTTGGTGATATAAAAGAAACAAACACAAGAAGACATAAAACCGAAGACAAAACAATAATCTTGCATGGCATATTAATGGCTTGCATGGACCAAACTACTACCTGCATGGCATTTCCCTTTGCTTTTCCTTTTTCTTATTTTATCCTTAGCATTTGTGTAGCTCAAGTTAAACTTAGTATGCCTAGATTATCTATTAGCATACGGCTATAAATAGACATATGATACCCAGTCGCCATGTACGGTTTTTCTCTGCATATTCAATCAAAACAGTAAATCTGAACTTGAGAACACAATCTAATTGGTAACTCAAATTCTAGATCACTGATACAAAGGTGACACCCAATTAAAACACCCCAGCAAATAGTATTCTCAATTGCCAACTCCAAACAATAGTCGATATACAAATGCTTATAAAATTAACAAACGCTTCCATCCCTGTGTATGAACTACATAAGCCAAAGTCAACCAAGAAACTACAAATCTAAACAAATAACACAACATTCAGTGAAGGATCACGAATATTAGCCTATATATTATAAATATATGTATCGTATCGTATATTTCTTTAAAACAACAGACCAAACTCAGAGTTTAACCCCTCAAACTAGCAGCAATTAATTTATATTAATGGGGCTCCTTCGCTTGAAATTTACGTTTGAAAATACACCTATATTACCCAGCCAGAACAGAACTAAAATAACCGCGCTAGTGACACCCACGCACATCCACTGCTGCAGTTTTTTCTTGTTCCGATTACGAAGAGGTGGGGGTATGGATTTTGTCTTGCCTTGTTTACCGAACCACCAATTTTTCTTTGATTTTTTAGCTACAGTCGAAGAAGACACATCCTTTGCTTCTATTTCCTTACTATTTTCGCCAGCGCTTTCGGAACTCTGACCAATTTCACTATTGTTAGTATCGTTCACGCCATCTGTTGCAGCAGCCTTCTTTCTTTCCTTCTTTCTCAGTCTCTTCTCCCTTTCCTACATAAGATCAAGATTCAAGCACAGGTTTGAGTTATCAGTATTTAGTCAAAATCATTCTACATAAGACATAATTACAAAACTTGACCTTCAAGTTTGGTCCAACTTTGCAACAAAGAGAGGGTGCACCAGCCAATTTTTTTATATGCTACAACTACAAACCTCAATTTCTCTAATTAATGAAAATACTCAAGTTAAAACTAAAGTCGGGGCTATTTGAAAAAGACAAAACCCATCCTCGAGCAGTTGGAGCTATACATCGACCATACATTTATACACCAGCTAGCAGTAACCACGATTATCATTGTTCATTTTCACGACTAAACCAGACAACTTTTCTAAACCTTACGGAAAAACTCTCACTTTCTCTAAATGTTGGCAACAGTCAGAATAAAAGTCAGGACTATTTTTAATGTCAAGAAAACCGATGTAGCATGATTGTAAAATAATTGAAAACATCAGCTGTCAACAACTAGCTGTCAGTCAGGGCTGCAAGCCACAAATAAAACCCACTAGCAGTTCTTGCAAAATCCCAAAGCTAAGCTGGATTCTCTTNCCAATATCACCTTTTCTTTCTGCTCAGCCTCCTTGAGTGTTTTGAGCTCCGCCCTCATTTGCATCTTCTCCGCCTGGCGCTTCTTCCTCTCGCGTGCCTCATGTGCCTTCGCCACAGCCTCCATTCGCCTCTTCTCCTTCAGCATTGCCTCTGTCTCGGCACTCTCCTTCTCCTCCACCTTCTTGGCCACCTCAATCTCCTCCTTCGACCTCTCAGTCTCCTCACGTGTGATCTCCTCACTTGAAACATCACCCGATGAACCATTCTCGCGAACGGACACAATGGGACCTTTACCCGTCCCTCTAGGAGAAAAAGTTTCGTCCACCTCTTTCTTAACGCTTTTAATGCTTGTCCTCTCCTGCTTTGGCTTCAGAGCTGGGAATTGTGATGCTCGGTTTGCCTCAGTGGGTTTTTGGACTATAACTCTATTATTATTATAGGCTCTCTCTTCAGTGTAACTGGGTAGTACAGGCAGGTTCTCATCTGGGCCGAGTGTGCGGCCGTCTAGAGTGCCAAATCTCCTCAAAGTACTTCTCGAGTTGAACTTGGTGTACTCCTGGCGGAACTCGTCGTTTGCATTCCAGAGTTCCATGAAATCTTCGACCTAAAAGATAACAAGTTGAGATCATATGTGTTGTTGTTATAAATTATAATAGTATCGAAGACCAAGAAATCGGGATTTGGACTTACGTTATTCGTGCACAAGCGGTAGAGCGCCTCCGTGTCCCCGCTGAATGCGTATTTACTGGCAATGGCTGCGTCGTTCCTGTACTTGGAAAAATGTTGGCTCTGCATTTAACAGTAATTTGTTTGACTTTGTCACTTTAACGAGATTTCTTGATGCGTTTTCTTAATAGATGTAATTTGCAATATCATAGTCGTTTTAAGGCTTTTAAATGCTAGCATGGGAGCGGTAGTGTCAAATAAATTAAAAAAAAATATATATAAGCGAGAAAATACCCCAAATGGATCAATGATCGTCTTCGTGTATAGCCGGAATTATAAGTACCCTCGGACTAATTGTATAGCAGGAATTGTACATAATGGTTCCTTTTATACTCGTATACGTGCCTATATGGGATGTGGTTGGCTCCAATAAAATATTTAAGTGGACCACACCCCACGTGAGTGCATGGAAAACGAATTACGCAAGTAGATTATTTATTGGAGTATGTCTTAATCTCTTGAGAACATGGTCAAAGTAATAACCAAGTGATCATGAAGCTGCATTTTTCACGTTCAAAGACAGAATTAAGGTTTTGAACCAAAACAAGCTAGGGTTAAGCACAGTAGTTAACATGTACTGAACAAGGCATTCTGCATTTCAAGATACGATGTTATAAAAAAAGTTACATGAGTGTTTAATCATCCCACATTCTGCAGAAGATTTTAGTTACATGGATTATCTTCAAATATATTCTTCCAGGTTTTACCAACACCTTAAACTGTTGTTTCTGTGGGTCACAACTGCAGCTAGGAAATAGAAAAATGCAAACCTTAACATTAACAACTCAAGGGCTATTACAGTCTGGATCAAAGCCCTCTGGTTATGTGCCATTTCTGGTTTATTAATCATCGGACCCAGCTAAAAAATGCATTACTCTGTCAGTATGTGTGTGTGTGTGTGTGTGTGATTGTATGTATATATGTATACATATATACTATTATAGTAATGGATCAAAACTTCGCTAATCTAATTCTACAAACTTCACAGGATGCCAAATCTTCCAAAACAAAGAGCACATAGTCAGTATGCTAAAAATGATATAAAACGTCAAGCCTTACTAAATTATGGAATCTGTTATTTAGCGGTCAAATATTACCAGAGACGTGCATTTTGAAATCAAGAAATGGCTTAAGAAAACCGAATAAGAAAATTAATTGACGAAATCCATACTTTCCATGTTTACCATTTATATACTTACATATTTCCTATCCTATGTTATACTTCTACTACAATGCTGCATTTCAATATATTTACACGTATTGATTACCTTAATATGTAATTGTATATTGTATATATGCTAACTGATACAAATTAGTACATCTTTATTTGTGATCAAATATCACAATTTTGTAGGTCTATACTTTATTTAATGGTCTTATTTTAGAATATTATATTTTTCCTATACTAACCTCATCTTCGGTAACACAATGTTACAACAAATATATTTTCAATTTCTTCCCCGAGTGAGCCACAGAACCATCATATGAGTAAATAAACTCTTAGCTGGCCTCTCTATGGTCGGTTAACCAGTCCAACGATGACGAGCTCATTGCTTCAAGATTACTTCGGACTCTAATAGACCATTCTTCTGGTTTAACCATCTTCTATTCTTACTTCTTCATATCATGAGATTTCATTACTATTGATCAGTTTAATAACTAAGATATGCTGTATGTATACAATCAAATAAAATATGTCCAAACTTCTCAGTCATGAAGTTAGAATGCACAAGCACAGTGCCCAATTCTCATAATAATTTAAGTAAACAGAGGTATTTTCTGGAGAACCTGACCTTGTTTGACAGTTCCTTTCTCAAACTCTGCCACTGAAAATATGCCGCCTGGCGAACCTCATCAGCCACCCTAAACTGAGCTTGAAGCTCCTTAACCTTTCTGTTTTCATCATCATATTTCTTCTCTGCTTCCAGGGCAGCTGTTTCGGCTTTCATGACTTTATCTTTCAAGACATCTAGCTCCTTCCTATGAATCTGCATNAAAAAAAAAAACAAAGAAATTACGATTCTAAGTCCAACAGCCTTCTCACTCAACTAAAATTTCCAGCCTAATACAACCATGTTTATGGAACTTAATTTTGCTTGTAAAAAGTGATGTATGTATACCTTTAGACGTTCTTCAACCTCCTCCCTTTGTTCGAGAGCCTGCTTAATTTCATCTTGGCTACCCATGTTAGAGGACAACTGTTCGCGAAGTTGCTTCAGCTGCTTGATTTCACGAATTAGCTGCTTTTCTTCTTTCAATTGAAGAGTCTCGTGTTGTATCATTCGTTCCATACTGTATATCTGCATAAAGCACAACTTTAATCATATAAGCAAACATATTATATATTTTACTGCAAAAATGGTATGCCATAAATCAAGAACTGCATGATTATTACGTGCAATTATTCTAGCGAACAGCAAGCAGAAGAATTGTTTACAGTTACCTGACTATCAATATCCTCAATAGATAATGCATTCTTGGCTTTGTTGATCACGGCCTGTAGAGAATCTATTTCCATACGTTTCAACCTCACAAGCTTTCGTGCATTTCGACCCTCACTCTTTGCATATTCGTAATCAATGCCATGAATCTGACTATTGGCCTATCAAGTGGAGAAACCCAATGGCATGAAAAAATTATTCTCTAAATAAATAAAATACATATATATATATATAGCTAATTTTCATACTCTTTTCTCTCGAATCTGGACTTGAATGGCATCCCTGACTTTTGTTTTCTCGTCGATATTCAGCTTTGCCATCCTGATTTGTTCTTTCAGACTTTCATCATCAAATCTTGGAACCCTAACCAAAAAGTTGAACGGCTTTATCTTTGTTTTAACACTAATTGCTTCGTCCCTGTGGATTGTATCTGAAATGGAACTAAATGTTGTGCTGCTGTCTCGTGAATCTCCAGTGTCATCATTGTCAGTCGACACCAAGTTCATATTATTGCTTCCTGAAGCACTTCCTGAAGCACCATCATTTTGATCAGCAACATCTTCAGAAACACCATCATTTTGATCAGCAACATCTTCAGCATTTTCTGTCTCCAACTCAATGCTAGTTGCACATTGTTTGTCAACATCAGAGCTATGAGAAATGTCTGTTCTACATCCGGAAGTTACATCACCACTAATTTCTGCACTGCTTAAGGCAGAAACATTACCAACACAAACTTCAGGTTCCACTGTCACGTGTGAACTCGGCGATGCTACTTCTTGTTCAATTTCAACAACTTCGCTACACAACTTCGCCTTGATCTCAGCCTTCGTGTTCTCATTTTGTGATTCACGCTCAAGAACATTCTCAGACACCTCAGTTTCTTCCTTGCTATTCACTGGATTCTTCTCCAAGTTTAAATCTGAGGAAGCTGGTAAAGGAACTTCATGTTCTGAATTTCGGGCAACTTCTTCGGATAACTTCACCTCATCTTCAGCATCTTCGGTCTTCATGTTCACATCTTGCACTTCATACTCCACAATTGGACACAACTCCAAATCCAAATCTGGGGAAGTTGAGAGGGGAACTTCACATTGGGGAGTCTCCACCATTCCACAATCGACATCTTCAACCACTTCCGTCTTTTCCTTGGTATTAACTAAGTTAGACCCCAAATCACTCAATGTTGAGGGGCTAACTTCACATTCCCCATTTTCCAACACTTCTGAGAACTTAATCTCGTTTTCAGCCTTCACGCTTTCATCTCGGTGTTCACAATCAACAATGTCCACAGGAACATCTTCTTCTTCCTTGGCACTCAATGTATTCGACCCAATCTGCGAATCAAAGGAAACCGATAACGGAACTTCATGTTCCGAATTATGGGCAACTTCTTCTGGTAACTTTAACTCGTTTTCAGACTTCAAGCTCACATCTTGCACATCACACTCCACAACTGGACTCAACTCTAAATCCAAATCTCGGGAAGCTGACGGGGGAACTTCACAATTTGCAGTTTCCAGCATTTCACGCTCAACATCCTCAATCACTTGTACATTTTCTTTGCTATAATTCAAATTAGACCCCAAATCAAATGAAGTTGAAGGGGTAATTTCATGTTCCCCATTTTCCAGCACTTGAGAGGAACTTATCTTGTTCTCAGCCTTCACGCTCTCATCTCGCAATTCAAGCTCATCAACATCCACAGTCAGGTCTGTTTCTTCCTTGGCCAAATCCAAGGAAATCGATAAGGGAACTTCATGTTCTGAAGCTTCCACTGCCACATCTCCCAATAACTTTATTTCATTATCTTGCAATTTGCACTCGACCATGTCAGTCTCTTCTTCCTTAATAATTACCGAACTCGACCCCAAGTCCACATCCAAGGAAGTTGAGGAGTGAATTTCCCCATTTTCCAACACCTGTTTTGATAATATTACCTGCAATGTAGGATCAACAACATCCTCAACCACATTTATTTCACCAAAATTCACGGAAGTTGAGACGGGGACTTTGAGTTCAACAGCTTCTGCTTTGTCCTCGGCCTTCTCGTTAACATCTTGCAATTCATGCTCGGCCACGTCTGTCGCGGTCTTATCAAAATCCACTTGTAACGAAGCTTCATTCTCTGCCAATGGACTCTTTAGCTTCATCTCCTCCTCTGTGGGGCCCGCGCTCAATTCAGGCTCAGCCACAACCACATCTGGCAATACCTGACACACTCCCGATCCCACAATTTGAGATTCGAGATTCTGTACCTCAACTTGTGCTAAATTTTCAAATTTTTGAGCAAGAGAATCACCATTATCATCTATAAGTGGCAGAGGATCTTCATTCACATTTACCTCCTCCTGGGCAGGGGAATGGGGATCTCTAGAATCAGGATCTGAAGCTTCAATATCCTTATTGTTGAGAGTATCGTCATCGGGAAGACTGTCATTGCCCGACACAAATACATAAGAATTGTCGATATCGTTGTTGAGGCTGCTCTGGGCCGGATCCTGGCAAAAGCCCGCTTCAGGCCCGCATTTAGCATCACTCACCTTGGAGACCTCTGTGTTTGTGTCGGCCATTACTACGCAAATGGCAGATCAAAAACTACCTGCTACTATACGTTATTAGCATTTGCAATTGGAAATTAGCAGAGAAAAACAGACCTAAAATTTGCCATTTGCAATTGGAAATTAGCGGAGAAAAATAGACCTAAAATTTGTCACAATTTTCTATGTCAAGTTATTATTATTATTGAAGCATTTAAGAATGTCCTACTCCTGTACATATACTCCTACCATGAATATATGATGACCGATAGGCGACCAAAGTAAAAAAGATAAAAAGGAAAAAACAAACAGTCCATAGCATAGACTAATCGAGTTTCAAATATTTGGTTTTTAGTGCCTTTTTCTACAATTTTCATACCAAAGTGCATCGCCCCACGCAAACCCATATTTTAGGGTGGATTTGGTTGACGAATTTCCAGATTCTGCTTGGACTTTTTTAGAATCAATTCCCTATTTAACCAAAAAACAAAAAAAATTAAGAAAAAGGTACCCACGACCAATATTAATACAAATTCTATCCACAATCCATCATTGTTTTTATTTTTATTGAAAAGGGAAATAAAGCATTGCGTTTACTTGAGTTTTATGAAATTTAGATAAGCATGAGCAAGGATGACGTCAAGTATATGTAAACAGAAATATGTTTTGAGAGTTTTGATGGGNGTTCGTTGTGTGTGGCAAACTTTTGTTTTGTTCCTCGGTCTACTTACGTTTGGAAAAAGCAAAGGGGAAAAAGACCCAACGTCGCGTCTCTAGTTTAAACGCTCATCAAACATATTATATATCGGACACCCATTTACAGCTATTTTCTCTCTTTTTTTTTCATAATCATAACTTATATTTTACACCAAATATTAATTAATTTTAATAGTTACGTTACGAGATTAGCCCGAGTGAGCAGAAAATATTTTTTTTTGACTCAACTATGGGAAATTTTTTTTACCAAGCAATATCTTAAATATCACAAATTCCTGTGAATTAAATGGGATAACCCATCATACTTTTATAATATAAATATACATACTTATGTCATAAAATATCATGATTTACTTTTTAGAGTATGACATTTTATTTTAAAAATACACAATATTTGAAAAAAATATATAATTGTGTAACTAAATATTAGTGTTACTTAGTATAAATAAGGATGGGACGAATCTTCAACACCGTCCTGCTCCCAAAACACCTTTCCTATGAATTTTCACTTGACTTTTTCTCATCTCATGGGAAAAAAGTAGTAAATTTGGAGAAAGATAGAGAAGTAATTCATGAGTTTAATGTATTTGTTTGGGATTTTTAAAGATTTTTCAAGACTTCAAAAATTTTGTTTACTTAATTCAGACTTTCTAAACTTTTTGAAACTTTTCTAAACTTTTAGAAACTTTTAAGAGTATCGAGAAATTCATTTGAAATTTTAATGTCTTACAAAAAAATCATGAAGATTTGCGACCAAAATTTGTTAAAACCTTTTAAGATTTACTGGGATTCAAAAGAAAAATTATATACAAAATCCTTAGTTTCAGACTTAAGATTTCATATCCTCCTAAATTCCAAAATTAAAAATGTTTCAATTTTAAAATGTCTAAAAATGTCAATCAAAATATTATACCAATACACTTCCTTAATGCATTGGGTCTCTTAATAAAATATCATATGCCACATAGAAAATAGACTCAGCTTATAAAAATATGTCTCCCAATGCAATTAAAAGTGGACATAGTTTAACTTATGTGGCAATAAAAAAAAGAGATCAAGTCCACACTTGGGTCTATTTTGAACTCAAGTACAAACTTGAACACACATCATTTATTCTTAATTTAATTTTTCTTTTAATAAAGGAAACATGTTAGAGCATTTTTATTGGTTAACATATATTCTAGACCTAGTATTTTATTTTTGGCATTGAATAGTTTTTGAGTTTTTTTACTTGAGTTTGTCATGTCATTTAGGACTTAAGTCCATATATATGCCACATATGTAAAATTAGACCCAATGTATTGTGGGTGCTCTTAGTCAAAGAGCTGAAAATGAGAGATTTGTAATTAAATTTATGAGTCGGAATCAAATGGTATTCGAGTGGTGGAAACTCTATAATATTTGGCTGGATATAGAAAAAAAAGTTGGACACTACACTGATTGCATATGAATACTAACTTATAATATATGTTTATTCTCGAAACTTGGACACTACATTGATTTAAATTATTATTATTAGACTTCCAAAATGGGGAAGGAATTATAGTTGGGACGCGTTTTTAGAGTGAAATGGGTTGGGCCCTACGTCACGGATCTAGACACATAAGTCAGCTTTTAAACAGAAAGGCCTAAAATCAAACACCATGAGGCCCACAAGATTTATTAATTAACGAAATTTTCACACTTTTTTTCTGAGAGTGTGAAAACAGGCCCCGCCACCATAGCCATAGCCAACAAATTCAGACAAAGAAGAAGATAATTGAACATATACTGCTACCAAATTAGCTCTATTCTTTACAGGGCATTGTAAATTACAAATCTTTAATTTTTCACTAAAATCATCTCTGCATATACAGGCCAAAACAATATTCATCAACCTTCAATTATCAGCAAAAAAACTAATTAAGTAAAATTATCGCCGATCGTGGCATTCGCGCAGGAAAGTAAGTATTGCGATAATAATTAATAAAATGCAGAAATGAATATGTGGATGAGAAAATTTAAGAAACGTGCTCACCGGAAAATGGGGAAATGCAGGATCCGATCCGAGGGGGATAAGGGGGTTTCTTCAATGGGGACTGAATTCCCATTAATTGCTGATCAATGGATGTTAATTGACTATCCCCATTTTCAAGAGAGAGATAGAGAGAGATTTACAGAGATGATGGGAGTCTGTGTCTGTGTGGGGTGGATGGTGTGAATGTGCTAAAAATGAGATGGATGGTTGTAGAATGAGGTGTTTCAAAACAAGATCTATGACAAAATACATATATATAAATAATTGTGTATTTGCATCTGTATTTTATTGTGAGAGAGACAGATAGATAGCTGGCTTTGCTTATGTTTGGTACAATGACGGGCAAGAAAATATATTTCTGTTTTTCCTTTAAAATATTTACTTTTTATCATTTCTTTATCTGTCTAATTTATTATTTGATAAGTTAAGGTATAGTCATAAGTAAACACAAACAAAAAAGAAAAAAAAAAGGTATAGTCATCAGTGGGCTAACAAAAAATACTCGAAGTATGAGGAGGTCAACCGAATGGATGAATGGTCTATCGTTGGACGACCTAAGAACCCTTGAACAACCTGAGGACCCATGCATGACCTAAGGACCCTTGGAGAATTTGGAATATCTCGAACGACCTAAACAACTAAGGAGCTTAAAATAGCTCAACATCGAGCTACGAACCAGACGCCTTAAGGAAACATCACAACCTAATGAGCATTACCAACTGAGTCATAGGGGATGAGAAGGAGTCTTATGATGATAAGAATGAATCTAATGGTGACTAAGACATCATTAAGATGAAGATAAGCACTAAGCACATAAGATCAAACTCGGACAGTCGGGCAGACTGATCGCTGGCAATTGGACAAGCTATTTCGGGAAGGTATTCCCTATAAAAGGGGTTCAGGTACACCCAAACCCAACTCTACATTCTACATTAAGTACATACAACTCTTGATCACAGATCATAAACCACCTTCTTCTCTTATACTTACTTGAGCGTCTGAGTGCTAACGTAGGGAGTCCCTTCGGGCACTTTTTGCAGGTCATTTCGAGCAGCTCAGGCAGATCAGAGTTCAGATCCAACTGATTTAACCTTGACTCAAGGCACCACACATCATTTGGCTCTGTCTGTGGGGATCTTTTAAAAGAACTAAGAGCTCTCGCAACAGATTCCGATCACCTGAGGTGGCAAACAGAGAAGCAGTTCAGAGGAACTTGTCGAAGGATTTCAGAGGAACGTGGATAGATAGGCGACCTCTGGTGGCCTTCAGTCCCAAACATGTGATTTTCATGGTGGGATTGTCGTCGTTGAGTAGTCATGCGCCATCAGGTGCACGTCAAGATGATGGGATTCAGGTCATTCCCCTAGGGATAAAGATTTAGGTGTTTTCCCCTGAAGGAACTAGCCAGTTTCTACAACTAACTCCCATTGGAGAGGTACATGAATGTAGGGAAGAAGCTCGAGTGGGGGAAGGAAAATGGAGGGGTCACAGTGGCATGAAGGGGAGACCTCGTCTTAAGCATAGCGACCTTGAGCCGACGATTAGGTCATTAGCCTCACTCGAGCCGAGCTACAGAAAATGATTGCGGAGGCGACAACGGCTAGAGTCAAGCAAACATACCATATGCATTCAACTGAACAACATAACACGAGCAAGAAGGGAGATGACGAGGAATCGTCAATTAAAACCACTATTCACGTACATCATATGAAATAAGACACGTTGGAGAAGTCATCGGCTCAAATTCACGACCTACAAACAAAGGTCGAGGGAAAAAGATGGGGTAGTGCTAGAGGTCATCCTTTCTCGCAGGAGATCCTGTATGCCAAACTATCCCGGGATTCAGGGATCTCAACTTGATGTATGATGGGTACACTGACTTATCATGGCACCTCTGGAGTATTGAAAACATGGTAGTATTGCACAGGAACAATGATCCAGTCCGGTGTAGGGATTTCTTGGCCACGTTGCGAGGATCGACGTAGGATTGGTTCCATCAGATGTTACCAGGAGCTATACATGATGTTGAGATGTTTAGCTAGAGTTTCATTAACCAATTTGCGAGTATAAAGGCACATGAGAAGACTTACTTAACCTTAATTTGGATGCAACAGAAAGAGAATGAGTTGTTAAGAGATTATGTGGCTCGCTACACTAGAGCTTGTGTGGATGTACTTGTATTGTTTTCTTATTATTTGTAATTTTCTGCAATTTTATGTGAAGATGTTTCAATGTGAAGATGTTTCCTATAAGTGGTATAAGATGAGTGGGGAAGGAGATAGATACAACTAGTGTAGAG